TGATTTCAAAATCTTTTGAGATCTTTTTAGATCCCTTACCAGACTCATAGGCTGCTACAGTGTTTTTTCTGAAGGCCTCTGACAGCTCTTTCGCTCTCACCATGGTGCTCACTCTCACTTCAACAGTCAGGAGCACACCAAACTAAATGTCTGAGGTTCAGATAGGGCAAGCCTCATTCAAAATGCTGAGTAACAATCTACTAATTATGTGCACTTGGTGTGATATACCTGTGTGTGATTTGAGCCATTTTAAGAGGGCATACATGTGAGGGTGTGCTATCTTTTTCCTCAGTTAGAATAGGCATTTTTGTAGAATTACATTTACAGAAGCTCTTGAAAAGACCTTTCTTCAGTTTTACTTGTTTAGTTGTATTACTTTAATCTCTGTATTGTTAAAATTGAGATTAAATAACCATATATTAAAAAAGTTACAAAATACACATGCTTTCAAAGGGTGTCCTAATTTTTTCACATGACTGTATACAGTACCAAACTCTAAAACATTCCACTTAATCCACATAGTTTTTGTTTCATTACTGGTGTAATTAAGTAAAGTGCAAGTGCAGCAGTACTTGAGTGCTAACAAATCTTAAAAAAGGAACACTTACTAATGCATGTCTTCATTTTCTGTGCCCAGAGGAGAGAAACTGCCTCTGGAGAGAGTGTGGTTTCTGCTCTGTGGAGGGTCCTGAAGAGTTGCAACGACATGTGTTCTTTCACTGTTACCACACTAAGCTGAAGCAGTTGGGACAGCAGGTGCTCAATGCCCAGCCAGAACTTGGCACCTGCTCTATTGCTGATCAGAATCGTAACATCATCCCTGAAATCCCAGACAATTTTGCCTGTCTTTGGGAGGAATGTGAGGTACAGACTGCAGCAGCTGACAATGTGAAGTTGAAGTTTAGCATTTCCTTCTTAAATTGTAAATATTTCAGCCAATGTATTTATATTTGTCAAAGCAACCACCATATGAAAATCCTGAGTGGTTCTACCGCCATGTGGAGATGCACAGCCTTTGTGTAGAAATACCAGCAGGAGACTGTGAATTCCCAGTACGCTGTGGATGGAAAGGTAGATCACTTAACATGATTTTAGTTCAGAAATGTTACCGTAACTGAAGATCACACAGCCAGTTTCTGGTGAAAGAGGTTTAAAAGGATGAGCACATGTTCTGCATAATACTAACTTGTCACTCTTTAGATTGCGAAGCTACTGCCAAGGGGCGTCCTAAGCTGCGGGAGCATCTGCGCAGCCACACTCAGGAGAAGGTAGTGGCATGTCCAGGTTGTGGGGGGATGTACGCCAGCAACACCAAGTTGTTTGACCATATCATACGACAGAGTGCCATGGAAGGTAAAAATCTGCAGAATTATGACAGGATGATTATAATAACACCTCTGCTAGTTATTTGGGTTCAGATGATAACATCCTTTGTCTGTGTGTTTGTTTGAACTGTAGGTCAGAGGTTCCAGTGTTCTCACTGCTCTAAACGTTTTGCAAATGAGAGACTACTGAGAGATCACATGCGGAACCATGGTCAGTTCCACCACCTCATTAGCATTAGTTCCCCATTGGCTTAAAAAAATGTGTAGACTTAAAATACAGTAAAGTGAGGCCTTAAAACAACACACAGTTGCTGCTTTTAATAACAATTCTCCTACTCTGCCTTCAGTTTTTGCATTCTTTTCTACCTTCCAGCTGTTTCAGTTCATGCCAGTACAAAATTTAAAGCAACATGAGAACTCACTGATATTTCAAAAGCTATGAAACCTGAGCTGCTTCATCACAGTGATCATTTGGTCGTTTGCAAGTTTGCATGATATTGTTCCCACCAGTTTGCCATAAATTCTTACCCACTTCCACCCAAACACACTGCTCATAAACATTGGTTAGTAAGCCTCAGCTCTCTAGACCATCTTCTGAGCAACGCAGTGCAAAAATACTGGTAAATTCAAAACTTTTTTTTTTTTTCATGAAGTAAAAACTGAACTTTATGATGGCTTTTTTGTCCATGTGATAGATACACTGTGGTGTTCAAGAGACTAAGGGAATCCTGTTGACAGTAGAAATGCTTCAGTATTATCAAATGACTTCATATCATCACTGATGTCTTTTGCTTCTTGGTACAGTGAATCATTACAAATGTCCGCTCTGTGACATGACTTGTCCATCACCCTCTTCTCTGCGCAACCATATCAAGTTCCGGCACAGTAACGAGAAGCCATACAGCTGTGAATACTGTGAATACAGGTATCTCATCTTCTGAAGCTGCAGAAGTGCAAATCAACACTAACCTGTTAACGTGCACTTGAATTGGAGGCTTTTTTTAAATTTTATCTGTAGCTGTAAGAATCTGGTTGACTTGCGCAAACACCTGGATACCCACAGCAGTGAGCCGGCATTCCACTGTGATGTTCCTGGCTGTGGTTTCACCTCTCGTGCCCTTGGCACCATGCAAATTCACCACAAAAGAGAGCATGAGGTAAAAGGGCAGTCTTTTACATATTTAACCTACACTCAGATAGGTCTTTGTCTCATTCTCTAATGTTTTCTTTTTTTAATCAGGGGACTTTTGTAGCTCGCTATAAGTGCCATGTGTGCAATCAGTGCTTCACCAGGGGCAACAACCTAACTGTTCATCTGCACAAAAAGCACCAATTCAAATGGCCCTCTGGACACCCCAGATTTAGGTTAGTCTTGCTTTGATCCATCCAGTAGTGCTGACTTCAAGACGTGCAGTGTTGCAGCACTGATGGACTCTTTATCATTCTGTCAGGTACAAACAGCATGAAGACGGCTTCTTGCGACTGCAACTGATTCGCTACGAGAGTGTGGAACTGACTGAGCAGCTGATGAGGGAAAAACAAAATAGGCAAGCAGAGGAGGATGAGGACAGTGGGCAGACTGAGGGTCAGCAGCTGGAGGAGGAGTCCCCAGGTGCAGCTGCTTCAGAGCTGCAGACAGAACTGAGAGGGGTGCTGCTGGAGGAGCAGAGGACTGATGAGCCAACCGTGAGTGTTGATGAGGGCGGTCAGGAAGAGGCCATGTTGTACGTTCTCACTGGAGGTTTGTCACAAGCAGGGGAGGACTCTGTCATGCTGCAGCTCCAGGATGCTGCTCAACATCAAGGAATGCAGGTGGTTTAACTGTCACAACCGTCTTGCACACATATCCTACACATGACAGGACAATCTACGTATAATCGGCAATCGGCTGTGATGTTTCACACAACTGTGGCAAATATATGATGAATCTTGTGAAATTACTGACCCTTTAATTTTTTTTTTTAAATATCTTAATGAAGGAACACTTAACTATGATGACCCATCTTGGCTATAAGCCTATATTAGGTAATAAATTAGATTTTAGGTGTTTTATTTGCTAATATCAAGCTTGTGAACAACCTCTTTACCAGTGTCTTTAAAATATTTTCACCTCAGTCATTGTATCTTGTTCCAAAACATTAGTTGAGCGCTAATGCTCCACTTCCTAGTGAGTGGTCACTCTGCTTCAGCTGTTCCAAGTTCAGAAATACATGAGCCACAAACTTGAAGAAAGTCACAGGAATTCATTGTTGTTATTGATATCGACCAAAATGTGTGGAATCTAGCAAAGGGGGCCAATCCCAATAACCCTGAGTATGTGATTTTGATGCCTAACAGACAACTTGAATAAACTTGACATAAAATGTTCAAAAATTACATTTGAACTAGTTTTTTTTTGTCTTATTCAAATGTCTTATTGTTGTACAGTAAAACATTTTCTTTAATGATGCATGTAAATCCCCTTAATGACTTTTAACAAATCATTAAGGGAGGGAAATGCATCATTATAATTGACACGACTTTTCAGGCAACGACCCTAATACCCAGACTGTCTACCACCATTATGGCGCCCCCTAGTGAACATAATCGCTCTATCGCACCTCTGCTTCATGATTAAATGGGGCTCCACCAGAAAGGACATGTAATTAACCTAAAATATAGTGAGTTGACAAGCACATATAGATCAGGTGTCTACAAATTGAAATGTCCTCTTTCTAATCTTGACGTGTGTGTGTGTGTGTGTGTGTGTGTACGTACATATAGTCGTATACTTTTCATGCTTGTGTTTTTAAGTGTTTGTGCCCAGATGGGCTAGACTGTTTAACAATAAACAGGCACCAGATTACCTCACTGTAATCACTGAAACCACATGTGATTCAGTCAGTGCATTATGTAGTGTGGCATTAGCTATGTGTAGAAGATTAAGCAGTGCACACAGCTCAGTGTAAGTGTTACTTACCATTCTCCTTCATCCTGCAGTCAGTGAACTCGGCTGTCCTGAGGCAGCTTCTAATGCTTCATGTCTGTTGACTTTGCAAGAAGAAGGATGATGATGTATAGTTTAATGTTGCTGGTCAGTTTCCAGATACATCTGCAGCTTTTTCACAGAATCTGATATCACATCAGAAGATGGGCACCATGAGTTTTTATGCATTGCTGCTGTTATTGTGTGGGTCCCTCCAGAAAGCGATGTCTCAGTTGCCCGGATGGCCTGAAGAAGTGGAAGGTAGTGGTAAGATCTGTAAAGCCAGTATTATTTTTCTATCGTGTCTCTGAAATCACGGTATAGACCTTGTTGATTCCATTGTGACAGTAACCGTAATATCTTTCTTGATCTAATAACCTCTAAGTATTTCTAGTTTGGAGTTTGCAATGAAATCCTCAAGAACTGCTACTTTTTATTGATTATATGGAGAATGAAGAAGCTAATGGAAGTGTTTTACTGTAGGTGAGATGCAGTGGGTTCCCCAGCCAGATTTGACAGATGACACATACTGGTCAGGGTCAGCACCGCTTTGTTTAGGAGGCTGCAAGGCGCGGCACCAGGAGCTGAGGAGAGATCCCTGTGGGGACTCGAGCTGCTGCTGGCTCGGCTACAAGTCCCTGTGCAGAGGTAAACATGGAAATTAACTACAACTGAGATATTGTTGATAACTGATAAACCTCCTTACACACAAACAAACTAAAGTCACTCTGGTCAACCTGTAATGTTTTACCTTTGCATACTCTTTGTGCGGCAGTGAACTGTGGGAGGCCAGACGTGGACTATAATGGAGTAGTGTATGGTAATGACTGGTGGGTGGGCTCTGTGGTGAGGTACACCTGTCGCTCTGGCTTCATGCTAGTGGGAAATCCTACCAGATATTGCCAGCCTAATGGTCTATGGACACCAAAACCTACCTGCCTCCGTGAGTAAACACTGACCATAGTGACACAAGCATTTATCATCCCTTTAACTCATCATATGCTTTCCTCGCTGTCTTGTAGGAATGTGTCACTGGGGACGCATTGAAATCAGTGAGAGAGATCTAAATGGAACCTGCAACTCCACCTGCACATTTAAAAGCTACTTTGGCCCACCCAAACAAGGCTGTACTCAAATAGACAACTGTAAGAAGAAGGAGACCGGCTGGAAGCGATTCTTTGTACAATGTGTCCCTTGCATTTGTGACTGTGCTTTATCTTGTGGTGAGTAGTTTCTCTGATACAATTGTAGACATAAGTGATGAGAATTGTTGAACTGATATAATGTGAACATGTTGCAGTGCTGTGCAAATTCACTTGAATGTGATTATTATTTATTGCTTTGAACATTATTTGAACACTTGTCTTTTTATTTCTAGCATCTGCTGGCTAAAACATGGGAAACGTGTTGACTGTACAGTGAGACATCAGATGATGAAGAAACACACAGTTTGTGCATCGTAGACCTTTGCTGTTTCATTTCAATTTTGTGGACAAATCGGTGGAGACAATAATTTCTCTGGCACACTGAAGCCAACCTTTTCATCATGGTTTCAGTGGCATATATGGGATTTTATGCTGTCTCAGGTTCAAATCCAATCTGAGTCAGTCATGAATTATAAGCAAAACAGAACATTAGACTATGTGATGTAGGTTAGCAAGAGGGTCAGAAAAGAATAATTAGGTCCTTTAAAACACACTGAAAGGTTGTGTCAGACATGGGTCAAAAAATAATTTTAAATGTTTTACTTGAAGTGCCAGGTGGTGATGCCAGTCTTTAATCATTTGGACAGGGCAGTATTTTGTAGCTTGCACAGCTTTTCCAGGCTAACTGAATTAACTGTGCTAAATGTAGTTGTCACAGAAGTAATACACAATTAATTTAACATGTTTGTGTTAATAATAAAGAGAAAGGGAGCATGAAGATGAAGACAAGGAGAGAAGGAAGAGAAACAACAGAGATTAGTGTGTCTGCCTCATTGCTCCTCCTCATCTATCTTGGAAGGAGCTGAAACCTTAATCTTGTTACAAAGGGAGGAGCTTTGGTCAGAGAGCTCAGGCAGCAGAGTGAACAAGAAAAGTGCTGGAAACTTTATAAACAGGTGTTTTTGCAGGGAATACAAAAGGTCTGGTGCGTCTGAAAGGGCAGAAAATGCAGCTGACTTATGTGAAGCCCAGTAATAAAGAGAGAAATGGTTTCTTTTGAGGCTTAAATGCACCAAAGTGAGACGCTGTGAAACATTTAAGTGCTGGATTCTTAATCTCACTGGCCTGCCATTAACTAAACCTCTTACTATTTTTAACTGTCAACAGTGAACGTATCCATGCACTTATCTCAGTTACACAATAAATTTTCTCAGCTTTGTGTCACAGAGACCTTCACAGCTTTTATTAATTTATTCATTCATTCATTGTATTAAGCACCTCCCTGATTTGTAGTAGTGTGCAATAGCTGAGCACATTTTTAAAGCTGAAAAGAGAAATTCAAACTAACTACATTTAAAGATGACACAAGGACAAACCACTGGTTAAATGTTCACAAAATCTAAATCAATTATATCAACTGGTGCCACTATGTGTGAGCATTTTTGCAAGCCATGCAAGTGAAGATGCAAATTCATCTTATTTTACTGGAGTGCACTGCTAAATGGCACTACTCCTGAAAGCCACTAGATGATGCTGTTTTGTTTATTCTCTCACATCAGGTCATAACATTTAGCACTATGTAGGACTTTACAGGAACGTAATCCAGAGACAGACAGAAATGTTTTATTTTCTTCCACATCTCACCTCCAAGCCCTTCAGTAAACAATGCAGCTCACCACTGCTGGGACCAGGCGCTGAACCTAAGAACGATGTGTTCAACAGCTGTAGGCCTGTAGCAGTCAATTCCTGTCAAACCTGTACCTAGTTTAGATCAGACATGGTAATAGTTGTGTTTATTCATGAACTCTGCTGCTCAGTTGCTATGGTGTTCTTGCAGTCATAGCAATTACAAGGAAATGAAGCACAGTTTGTGCTGGATCTTTATACCAAAAACAAAAGAATTAGTATTAGTACTGTCTGATCTATACATAAAAGATGTGTGCATTTTTAGAATATTCACACTTAAAGGCCATCTTGAGGCATTAAGTGAAAAGATATGCAATTCTCCAGACTCCTAACAACTCATTAAGCCTTCCTCAGTTATGTTGTACTGAAACCTGGGGGAGGATGCTCACCCACATCAAGCCTGGTGTACCCTCCTGAGCTCTCTGATAGGATCTCCCAGTGCATCTGCTCGTGCTCATTTCCAGCTACTCCGTTCACACCCTCCAGAAACAGTCCACAGTCCTTCACTGTGAATCTGGCAGAGCACAGAGTCATGACATGTCTGCAGAAGGAGGATATTTATAGCTTTAAATATGTAGAAGAAACAACTGAGATACCATTCAGAAAAAAAGATGATATACAGAGATGGTAAATGGAAAGTCATGGGTGGTCTTACTTGAAGTCCTGGTGTGATTCCTGCAGTCACCTCAAAGCACCCAGCAGCACACCTCCCTCTACCGCAGAGCTGGACTCAGAAGGAATAGAAACCGTACCTGCACACCATGTTATATTCAGTTATGCATGAAACATCAACAGGAAAGTGGGTCATTGAAGGTTATATTCTGCTGTGAATTCGCCTTTGTTTGTGAGACTTCCTCTTGTCAACAACAGCAGAAGTCCCACAGAGAGTAGAGCAGCTCCATCCTGTAGGATCTCATCTCTCTGATGTGCGTGCACAGCAGCTCAGTGCTTATGCTTTGCCTAACCCTCATTTGTGAGCGCATTCCTGTCCCAGATTACCTTTATTCCTGCAGTCACCTTTTAACTTTGCAAAGACATCTTTGCAAAGTGTGCTTTTCACAATAGCACACTAAAACTAAAATAAACACAGGTGTTTGCTCTCAGTCACTGTAAATGCACTGTATTGTTCACTAACTAGAGAAATACTTATCTCTGAAGTGATTTGTTGACATCTTTGGCTGATTAATGATCTGCTTGGTGATGTTTTCTCAGAAGGCATGAGTGAGAAGGACTGGTTGTTTTTAGATAGTATATGTGTAGAATGTAAAGGACATTTCTTTTTCCTCAAGGCAAATATTACATTATGAAGCAGAATAATAGAAGTAGCATGTCATGTGTCATTATATCAATCATCAGTCAAGCTTGAGAATGCCTATGCAACACATTTAGTGCAGTCTGAAAACATTGCATGTGTCTTTACTTTAGATACTTGTCTCAATCAGACCAAAGCTGAGTTATAGAAAAAGCAGCTAACAGGGTGCACACCTGCGACAGGCTGCATCCAGTGGTGGAAGAAGTACTCAGATTGTTTCCTTAAGTAGAAGTAGCAAAACCACAGTGTTAAAATACTCTGTTACAAGTAAAAGGCCTGCATTCAAAATGTTACTTAAGTAAAAGTACAAAAGTATTAACATCAAAACTATTTAAAGTACTTAAGGTAAAGGTACTTATTCTGCAGAACAGCACATACACAATGTATAACATATTTGTTGGACTATAATTATTGATGTGTTATTGTGTTCACCACATGCAATGTTGCAGCCAGTAAAAGTGAAGGTAATGTTATAAAGTTATCAAATAAATGTAGTGAGTAAAAAGTACTATATTTTTCTCTAAAATGTAGTCACGGTGAAGTATAAAGTACCAGAAAATACTCAAGCAGAGACACAGTAGCTCAAATTTAAATGTACTTAGTTACTTTCCAACTCTGCCTACATCCCATCTTAGGTTGAAGGGTACAGGTCTTCATGTGTTCAGTGTGCAAACATCTGTGGAAATAGGCTATTACCAACTGTGAGGAGTAAAATCTCTCTCTCTATCTCTCTCTATCTCTCTCTCACACACACACACACACACAAATTGGTTGCCGAGCTGAAATTGCACGTGTGACGACATGAGATTTCGTTTTAAATGAGTCTAATTAAGAGGCAGGTGCTGCTGGATAAAAATGGTGTTATTTCCTCTCAGGGGTGATATAAAACACAGTGCCCGCTTGAACGCAAGTAACCCCGGCTGTTTTACCGAAAATAACCCTGGCACTGCAGCATCAGCATCAGCACCAGGCAGCTGCGCAGGTGCGGCCTTTAAAGAGACAGGAGCTCCTCAGTTTGACCACAACCATTGTTCATGTTAGGACGGACTGTCAATGGCAGTGTAATGTCTGATGGTAGCGACGGGGCCACACTGAGCAGCTTTATCAGCTTGGTGAGGCTGATAAATTAAAAACAGGGTTAGCAGCCAAACTTTATCCCATTTTTTTGTTTTTATTCCAGTTCCTCTCGTTTCTCCAACGATATCACAGAATATCACAATGTAAAAGGCTTAAGGAGGCATTTGGGGAAACTAATTTGTGATCAGTGTGGTCTGAATAATAAACTATGAAGTAACTGCAACTTCTAGGTTATTGCAAATCCAAAATATCCCTAATGTCCTCATAACAAATACAAAAAGGAAAAAAGTGCATTTTTAACTCCGTTACACTCACAGAAATTCCTACTGTGTCTATTATCAGTGTAGCTTATATTTTTCCATATGGTGCCAAATAGCTATATTCTATATCTATTTTTCCTGTTAGGCTTTGCTGATCTTAAAACATGAAGTCAGGATCAGGATAAAAAGGAAACTATCGAAACCAAAACAGCAGCCTATTATTTTGTCCTCCAGTAACATCCTGCCAGCAACGCCCAGACCGGCGTGCGTACCACACAGACGCACTAACCGGTTAAGAGGATAACGGCGGCTGCTACAGTGCATCGGCTGTTGATGCTGCCAAAGCTTCTGCAGCATTGTTGGGCTGTTTTTGTTTCCTTCCATATGCCCCGGACTGAAGATTGTCATCAGTATTACCGCTGAGTATGTGTGTGAATGTTTCAATGCGAGTTCGGGACGGATGGCTTTATTTAAGGAATGATCAAACCGAGTAAAACATGAGAGACATCCTGTTCTCCTGACGATTCGCTGGAATGCAGTCATAGTTTGAGGCCGGACATGATTTTAACCTCAGGAGTTGCTGTAGTGATTGCGGGGTGATGCGCACCGCACCCCGAGAGATATATAAAAGGAGAACACAGCTTGGTCCTTCCATGCCTCAGAGCCGATCCGGATTTTTCCTGGACTGTGGCTCACAGTGAGCATCCTGCTGTTTCGGGGTGGCCGGGACTGCTTTGGCAAACCTTCTGATGTGGACGGACTGTGTTGTCTTGTCTGAAGGGATCAACTGAGTACTGTTGCTCTCACCCAGAGAGGAGAACCAGGGCTGCGCTGCTTACCTGGTCATTTCAGCGCACAATAATAAGTATGTCTAATGCAGTGCGTGCGCGTGTGCGTGTACAATGCAACACACTGTGTGACTGAGTGGTACAGCTAAGACTAGTGTAAAGACATCTTCAGAACAGGTTCACTTATGGCTCATAAGAAGTCTCTTCTCCCCACTGCTCTTGCGTTTAGTGTCTGTTTTTGTTCTCATCCGTTTGTTGTTAACAGGTGCTTTTTGAAGGACTGGGGCATCCGTCATTACTGACAAGTCAATGCAGAACACAGTGTCTACGCACTATACTGCAAAGCTATACAGATGCATGTAACAATCTTATGTTGCCCCTATAGGAGACTTTTACTATGGCTGTCTGGCTTTGGGGCTGCACATGACACAACATGGAGGCCTTAATCTGACTGAGAGGCCATTAAAGTCTGTCAGTGTTGTATAGAGCTTATATGCAGGCTGGCAATGGAAATTCGCTAATGGCAGGATGATCAATAAAAACCATGGTCGATTCACTTGCCCTCTTCACATGAGGATATTTTATTACACATACAGTAGGTCACAGACACTGTAGTACCCAGGGAGTACTACAAGACTGCACTGCATTGCAAGGCAGCAGTAGATATTTGTATCCAGTGATTGTGTGTACATGCGTGATCTTAGTTTTGAATGTTTGTGAATGCTGATTTTGAGTCTGGAGCTTAGGTTTTCTTTCCTCCATAATGTGCTCACTTCTTTGCCAATGATGAGACTGGTGACTGCCTCATATTTGTTAGTATTAACTACAATTATGACAAAATTTAGAAAAATTGTCTGTTTATGAGGATAAATGTGCCTGAACTAATCACAGCTTTGTACTAGACATGAAACAAATGGACACTTAAGATTATTTATGTGTGTGTGTGTGTGTGTCTGTTTGTACTTCTTTTATTTGCTCAAAATGTTCCAAGCAGTCCTAAAGGTGTCCAGTTTCAGGCCTGCATATACATAAAACAGGTTTCTGTCATGTTTGCTCAGGAAATCTTGTACATTAGTTCTGTTCTTTTATTATTCCAGTGGATACAAAGTCACCTAAAAGATTCAAAACAACATTGTCAGCTATTATGTCTCTTTAAATACACTATACGTAATGATGCAACTCATAAAACCTAATGGGTATGGATGAAATTATTGACTGATATTTTCTTAGGTGTATTAGTGCTGGCGAGAATGTCCATGGTTAAGTAATGCAAACTTGAAGCACAAAAATACCAACGATATAGTTGAGGTCATTTAAAAAAACAACGTTGTAACATACCTGTGATTTTGGTCCTAAGTCTTGATCAGTCAAAACAGTTGAAAATTAAATACTGATGACTATAATGTTATCAGATATTTTAAAACAGCAGCTTCACACTAGTGACTGTAGCAAAAACGCGAATAATCAAACTACGTTCTCAAGTAGTTTGTGGCAGCAGCTTCAGTAGTCTGAAGCAGACTGTGGTACATGCTGCTGTGAGTAAACATCACCATCAGTCATCAAGCAGCTTTTGTATTAATTCTCCACCTCCAAAGTTTAAACGTAGTCAATAAATTAAAGAGTATTTTCCATGTCAGATATGCTCTCTCTTATTTTTACTTTATTTGTATTACAAACCATTATACTGTGCAACTTATAGTATTTTAATATTCTTTAAGACCATCTTCATTTTGGCTCTGGTTCCATTATGTAGAAACACACGATTACTTTACAGTAAACTAAACCCAATCATATCCATAAACCCTTAGGTGATCATTACATTACTCTAATATTATTCACATAATGGCCACTTGATTAACCTTTGGAAACTAATTTGAATTACACACATACGCCTCTGTGTTCGTTGCATGTATTCCTATAGTATTTAAGTATTTTTGTTATATAATGATTGACTTTTACCTGAATAATGAAGTAACAGTAATGTTGAATATTGGCATCATTAGTGTGCTGATATTGGGGAGATGATGTATTGTCGCAGTTGGAGATTATTGGAAAGCTAATGGATCAGCAGGCATTGCATGGTTTAACCGACACTTCAGACAGGCCTCCTTGTCTGGTAGGAAATTTATGTGAATCAGCAGTCTAAGCGTGCTGCAGGGCTGAAACCAGATCCCAGCTCCTCACACTCAGAGTCTCGTTCCTCACGCAGCCAGTCCATGAAATAACCTATAATCAGATCATATCCAGCACCTAGTTTGAAGATGATGCCTGTAGTCGTTCTAAAGTCATTCCTACAACACACCTTTGTGTCCACACATCTGCCAAGACAATGGGTCAGCCAGTTAAATAAAGAGAAGCCAACCTGTGATGTCTTTGTCTTGTTTACTGGTTAGTGTTTAGTTGGATTTCCTTTGCCTGTTTTATTGCAGTGCATCTCATTGTTCTATTATTTCAAGCTACATCTCTATAGCACTTCACATGAGGACCCTCTCAGTTAGCCATGTTTCTTTTTCTCATAATGTATCTTTTTGAAAAAAGACATAATTGAAGTTTAATGAGCCATTCTGTTCCTTTTTCATATGTTATACATTTCAAAAATAAAATGATTGAAAGTGTGCTGATGCTTACCAAGTTCCAGATCTCTGACTATATTATTTCAGGTCAAAGTTAGTCAGTGCTTGAGATTATTCATATATGAAAATGTGGGAATATAAAGAAAGCTTGATTACAAAGAATGAAACATTTCCTCTGAAGCACAAAGGTGGAGCTGGAACCATTTAAAAGCTGATATGTCTGTCCCTCTTTTGCAGCCTTTCAGCATGGCTGAGAAGACTCTGGAGCAGGGCTCGGTCAGCATCCCCATGGAGGAGACCAAAGTCCACAGCGGAGCCCCTCAGGAGGCGCCACTGCTCACACACCTGAAGAAGGTGGAGAACCACATCACTGAGGCTCAGCGCTTCTCCCACCTCCCACGCCGCTCTGCTGTGGACCTGGAGTTCAATGAGCTCTCCTACACCATCCGCGAGGGTCCCTGGTGGCGGAGAAGAGGTAATGCATGCTCAGTTCACAAATTATGGATGAGCTCACCCCTGATGATCAATATCTGGAGTGCTGGAATTTCAAGGGAGACATTTAAAACCCTTTGTGACATGTAACAGAAACATATTTTCTTCAGTGTTGTGTCACTGTGTTCGTTATCCCTCCTGTTGTAGCAGTGTGCCTGGAAACTGTGCTGCTCTCAGCAGAGTTTAAACATAGTAAATAATTTACACTTGCAGGATGGCACACTGCTTGCCCCTCTTTTCCCTGTGTTGTCTGACTATAGGTGGTGGCAGTGAATCAGGCACATGATTGATCTACTCATGAAATATGGACAGCCTTTAAACTCACCGCCCTTATTAATGATGAGTCTCCAACCAGTGGTCATCTTTGAATATCAACAAACTGTTACTTCTTTCTAGCTGCTCTCGTTATGCTATTTATTTAGCAGGGTGGGGATGGGGAACTTCAGGAAAATCCCTTACTGACAGTACTGATGGTATAGGAGAGGCACTATACATGATGCATTACACGTTGGCTTGTGTTACTTTCAGTCTTGCTTTGTTACTTTCAGTCTTGCTTTGTTACTTTCAGTCTTGCTTTGTTACTTTCAGTCTTGCTTAATATAGATGAGCAATATGAATGGAGTGTGTGTTGTTTTTGTTTCATTATGAAACCTGAATGTATGGGGAGTATTCATGAGGCTAGTAAGAGGAACGAAGTGGAATGAAATTTATTGGATATTTCAAACTTTTTTAACAAATAAAAAACTGAATAATTGGGCGTGCAAAATTATTCAGCCCCTTTACTTTCAGTGCAGCAAACTCTCTCCAGAAGTTCAGTGAGGATCTCTGAATGATCCAATGTTGACCTAAATGACTAATGATGATAAATAGAATCCACCTGTGTGTAATCAAGTCTCCGTATAAATGCACCTGCACTGTGATAGTCTCAGAGGTCTGTTTAAAGCGCAGAGAGCATCATGAAGAACAAGGAACACACCAGGCAGGTCCGAGATACTGTTGTGGAGAAGTTTAAAGCCGGATTTGGATACAAAAAGATTTCCCAAGCTTTAAACATCCCAAGGAGCACTGTGCAAGCGATAATATTGAAATGGAAGGAGTATCAGACCACTGCAAATCTACCAAGACCTGGCCGTCCCTCTAAACTTTCAGCTCATACAAGGAGAAGACTGATCAGAGATGCAGCCAAGAGGCCCATGATCACTCTGGATGAACTGCAGAGATCTACAGCTGAGGTGGGAGACTCTGTCCATAGGACAACAATCAGTCGTATACTGCACAAATCTGGCCTTTATGGAAGAGTGGCAAGAAGAAAGCCATTTCTTAAAGATATCCATAAAAAGTGTCGTTTAAAGTTTGCCACAAGCCACCTGGGAGACACACCAAACATGTGGAAGAAGGTGCTCTGGTCAGATGAAACCAAAATCGAACTTTTTGGCAACAATGCAAAACGTTATGTTTGGCGTAAAAGCAACACAGCTCATCACCCTGAACACACCATCCCCATTGTCAAACATGGTGGTGGCAGCATCCTGGTTTGGGCCTGCTTTTCTTCAGCAGGGACAGGGAAGATGGTTAAAATTGATGGGACGATGGATGGAGCCAAATACAGGACCATTCTGGAAGGAAACCTGATGGAGTCTGCAAAAGACCTGAGACTGGGACGGAGCTTTGTCTTCCAACAAGACAATGATCCAAAGCATAAAGCCAAATCTACAATGGAATGGTTCACAAATAAACATATCCAGGTGTTAGAATGGCCAAGTCAAAGTCCAGACCTGAATCCAATCGAGAATCTGTGGAAAACTGCTGTTCACAAACGCTCTCTATCCAACCTCACTGAGCTCGAGCTGTTTTGCAAGGAGGCATGGGCAAAAATTTCAGTCTCTCGATGTGCAAAACTGATAGAGACATACCCCAAGTGACTTACAGCTGTAATCGCAGCAAAAGGTGGCGCTACAAAGTATTAACTTAAGGGGGCTGAATAATTTTGCACGCCCAATTTTTCAGTTTTTTATTTGTTAGAAAAGTTTGAAATATCCAATAAATTTCATTCCACTTCATGATTGTGTCCCACTTGTTGTTGATTCTTCACAAAAAATTACAGTTTTATATCTTTATGTTTGAAGCCTGAAATGTGGCAAAAGGTCGCAAAGTTCAAGGGGGCCGAATACTTTCGCAAGGCACTGTAGTCTTGTGCAGTGGTCAAATTGGCTGTGTTGCATTACATTGCTACACATCTCAGCTTTTACTAATGAAGCAGTGCATTTCAAAAAGAGGTTGCTCTCCGTTTTACTGTCTATCCAATCCCGCTGAACCTTCTACCATCTGGCTCCTTTTAACTTACACAGATCAGCCATTGCGACCACCTGCCTAATATTGTGTAGGTCCCACCTTTGCCACAAAAACAGCTCTGACCCTTATGGGCTCCACAAGATCTCTGAAGGTGTCCTCTGGTATCTAAGACATCAGCAACAGATGCTTTAAGTCCTGTAAGTTGAGAAGTGGGGCCCCCATGGATTGGATTTGTTTGTGTAGTACATCCCACAGATGGTTGATTGGATTGAGATCTGGGGAATTTTGAGACCAGGTCAACACCTTGAACCTGTTGTTGTGCTCCTCAAACCATTCCTGAACCAATTTTGCAGTGTGGCAGGAGCACTATCCTGCTGAGAAGAGGCCACTGCTATTAGGGACTACACATCAGTGAGCCTTGGGTGCCCCTGTCATCAGTTCACTGTTTGTCCTTCCTTGGACACATTTGGTAGGTACTAACCACCGCAGAAAAGGAACACCCAGCAAGACCTGCAGTCTGGGAGATACTTTGACCCCGGTGGTCATAATGTTATGGCTGATCAGTGATCTACCACTCACATGAAATAACAAGTCACACCTTACCTTATAATTAGTTTGTGGCTTATATGTGAAATATTCTGCAGTTCATTCTCTGCATCCTCTGTCTGCCTGATCACAGCTGTAAAACGTCTTATCACACAGCTATTGTTCTGCTGTGTGCTGCTGTAGGCAAATCATTTCTCCTTGGGAAAAGCATATCATTTTATGCTGTTTAAGCTGAGTTATATTAAGGGAATTATACAGTGGATAAAAAGGAGAGAGGAGAAAAAGGATCATGGGCAGCATGAACCAGTAGCCTTAAATCTGTGATGTCATTTGTAATTTAATGTGTTTTAGTCTTTGACTCACTGACAAGCTACTTATGAGTCATTTCTTAAAATATACATGATACAGGAGGAGATTACAACAGGGCTATGAATTATTTCATTCTATTCCATAAATTAATAGTACAAATCTGTCACTGCAGTAAATGTTGTTTCTTGTATTGTAAAAGCGCTCCAGAAGATTAGATGTGTTATGGGCTGAGCTCTGTCTGCAGTTGCTCTTCTTAGCAATTTAGCTATGTTAGAATGAAGCTGCTGTGACTTGCTTTCATGTTGAAAGTATTCTTCTCCCGAGGGAGATAACTGGTGAAACACTAGCCAAGCCATGACAGGGGAAGGACAGGATTGGAGGGAGAGCAGGAAAATATTTACATCTCTGGGTTCCTTCGATTCTGCATGGAGTTTTTTTTCCTGCAGCTGCTTCCTTACACGAACAGACCGATGAAGCAGCAATGTCTGAAAAGGGCTGTAGTTTATAAACATGCTGCAGTGTGATCTCAACAGAGAACAAAGACAAATGTTCAAACTCCACAACCCCCCTGGATATTCACCGATTATTACTACTGAAGCGCCGAAGCCCAGAAATTGCCATTCAGAAGAGCCCTATACTGTATGTAGCCCAAACTGTATATCGTGGCATATGTTCAAAAAAGTAGATGTTTTAAGTAAAAACATTTGATTTAAAAATATATACAACAAATAATGTCTTGCTTCCCATATACACTAAAACTAATTTCAAGGTTCTTTAAAAAAGTTAAATGGACAATAAATATTTCCTCCACACGATTATCAGACGACTCAGAAATCCTCACAAACATTTCACCTGTCGCTGTCTGCAGCTGGAGGCACCTTGGTCTTCGAGGGCAGGCTGTCTTCCAAGAAATTCTTGTCCAGTCTCTCATCTGGCACAAAATCATCCACACTCTGAACCTTAGCTGGATACACTGGTGCAGGAGGGTCCTCTGAGGAAAGAAGAGCCAAATACGTGTGAGTAATGATCAAATAGCTTAATTCAAATCTACTACACTGCTTGAAAAAAAAAATTAAGGGAACACTGTATTACTATTGTACACTGTATTATTAGTTCAGAACAAAATGACAATGTTCAATGGAAACCAAACTCATCGACCCCTGGAGAGCTGGATTCAAAACTATACTGAAAACCAAAGTGAAAAATTTAAATCACAGGCTCATCCAAGTTGCATGAATTTGATCACAGCAATTCATAATGTCACAAAGTTTTGATCACTGAGGTTGGCATCATTTGCTAGAATCCCTTTGTTATTTCTACTTCTATAAGCGACTACAAAAACCTGAATCATTCTGATCTCCTCTAGAAAAACAACTGCTGACCTCAAAGTACCTATAAAAATCTAGTCAGCTCAGATGACTGGCATATATTCTAAAAGATGTCAGGTTCCTAGTTAAATACAATTCTACAGAGGGTGGTAATGCTGCTTTGCATTGCTGATACTCATGATTGTGCAATGCTGGCATAAAGCATGGATTAAACTGTGCAACTCAGAACTTTCACCTCTCTGTAAAGCTAAAACCATATGACCACCTCTAGCCATATTTTAATAGAAAAGCTAACCCACTGACTATGATTGGAATATGTCTTTCATCCTATTGAGAGAACCCAGCGGTGACTGTATACATGTGTCTGTTCAGAAAGGTTCTGTATCTTTCTACTTGGCTTCACAGGGCAAGTTACACCAGACTACTACTGATCTTAACGGAGCAAATGGACAATAAATAACTGGCTTATATGCTTTACAGTCCATCTTATGCTTACCCTCTCTGACTATCATGCAAACAAAGGCCTTTCTCCAACACAGGGCAGAGCCTTGTGCATCATGCTGTGATTAAAACAGACTGAGTAATGACAGCAGTGGCCACCCTCATCGATTTACCATTCTGGTGGACATCTATTGGTATCTGGAGAGATTTTCCTGCATTAAGGGCTGAAATTACTTTTGTTTATTTGTCTAATTCAGATTTCTTAAATAAGGTAGTTGTTATCCTCTTTGCCAAAAGAAATTTTACAAAATGTTCCATTAACTTTTTCTGGTTGAGTATATAGAGATCTGTGATAAGTTTTAAATGATTGCTGGATTCTTTCTAAGTTAATTCTTTTATTTGTTATGGGGTCTCTAATTGTTTATTTTCTGCTTGCAGAGCTTCCAGGTTCATATTTTCTGATGCTTCAGAAATCTCTTTCTCAATCTCTTTGCTATGAATATTATCAATTACCTGTTTAAAGGATCTCATTTCTAAAAGGGCAGGTGGGTCTTTATTAGAGCTGTATGTGTTAGACATTCTTCAGTGTACAGATCAAGCAGTTTTTTTTTTTTGTTTAGCCTTTAACCATTTTATGAGAGCAGTCTGAGCTATGATTTTTCCTATAAAGGAAAAACTTTGGCTGCATTGCACAATATTAGCAGGAAAGGCTTCTCGATTATCCTTGTGCTCTAGATAGAACTTCATCTCCTCTGCGCTCTCCAGCCATAAAAAATCAAATGATGATTTGAGTTCAGTGTTTAAAGTGTTGTCATCTTACAGAGATAAAATAGCATGACATGCTTCCTAGACTGTTTTTTTCTTTAAAGGCATCTCCACTCAAATGTATGACTGTAATGCAAAGTAATCAAATCTACCTCGCCATCATTGTCATTCTCTTGCAAAATGATTGTGAAATGTATAATTAAGTTTAATCAGATCTGGGGGGAAGCAAGCCTGTACATGTTATTGAATTAGTTTTATTATTAACCCTGTTTTGTTGTGGAGTGTATGTTCAGAAAAGGGTTAAGCTGAAGTCAAAGTGATTCATGTCAAGAATGATAGCAGGTAATGCAGAGTCTTTTATGTTATGGTATGGTATGGTATGTTATGTTATGTTATGTTATGTTATGTTATGTTATGTTATGTTATGTTAAAAAGAATCATTTAGGGCTTTTTATGGGTGCATAGGAAGCTGCACAAAGTCTAATAAATGTCCTCAAATGATGTCACTGACCTAATATCGGACTGACATTTCTGAATTTTGATAAGATTGCCTTTAAAAAGCTGATTAAATGTGAGGACAGATTATACTGGTTTATGGAAATGCTACATTCCTGGTGTGAGTTGTCATTTGTGTCATAAGCTGATGGTAAGATGATGTCATGGGGTAGGACTGGATAAGTCTGACTTCTTCCTACTCCATTCAAGCATGTACTAGGTATAAGCAAATTGATATTGGATTATGTGTAAAATTATGTGTGTTGTCATATCAACTGTTTTACATGCTTGAAAGAATAAATCAAATCAAATCAAATCAAATCAAATGATGATTTGAGTTCAGTGAATAAAGTGTTGTCATCTTACAGAGATAAAATAGCATGACATGCTTCCTAGACTGTTTTTTTCTTTAAAGGCATCTCCACTCAAATTTATGACTGTAATGCAAAGTAATCAAATCTACCTCGCCATCATTGTCATTTTCTTGCAAAATGATTGTGAAATGTATAATTAAGTTTAATCAGATCTGGGGGGAAGCAAGCCTGTACATGTTATTGAATTAGTTTTATTATTAACCCTGTTTTGTTGTGGAGTGTATGTTCAGAAAAGGGTTAAGCTGAAGTCAAAGTGATTCATGTCAAGAATGATAGCAGGTAATGCAGAGTCTTTTATGTTATGTTATGTTATGTTATGTTAAAAAGAATCATTTAGGGCTTTTTATGGGTGCATAGGAAGCTGCACAAAGTCTAATAAATGTCCTCAAATGATGTCACTGACCTAATATCAGACTGACATTTCTGAATTTTGATAAGATTGCCTTAAAAAGCTGATTAAATGTGAGGACAGATTATACTGGTTTATGGAAATGCTACATTCCTGGTGTGAGTTGTCATTTGTGTCATAAGCTTCAGCTGGAGTCATGTGATGACCTCACCTCAATCATGACTCATAATAATTTGTCAGAAAATGACTTTCTGAGACCTCCTGTGATCAGGCTGAAATCACTGAGCGAAAACATAACATGGTGTCTGTATGCCTGTGTGATGTCAGGAGTGAATAGTTACACTGTGGCTAGCATGAGACTTGGCGATCAGGATGCACATGCAGCCTCACACAGATAAGACAGATCATCAGTATGCACCACATGCCAGAGCAGGACTGCTCCACTGACTGAAGGCTGCTCCACTGTCTGAGTGGAGGCCATCTGATGTAATAACACTGTGAATGAAGAGGGTGGACTGCTATTAGGCTACTTTACTCACAGAATGGCAGGTTAAAGGGGCTGGAGGCTCTGCTGAGACCCTTAATTACACAGCTCGAGACAGGTAGAAGCATCTGGGATCTGGGCAGTGCAAGGATGGATGAAGTAAGAGATGGGAGGGGGGGCACTAAGGCAGGATATGTGCAGCCCTTTTGAGCTTTCTGCATCTGTAAGTTATTGGTTGCAAAACTCTTTCCTCTGGATTTAAGAACAACAAAGGTTAGGAACTAGCTCATGAAATCTGGGCTAGCTTCATTAGCAGGCCACACCACAAACCATTTTTAAAGCCAGTACAGAGTGATTTTTCTGTTGGCGCCACTGAGGGCTTCATGATCATACATTTTTCTGTGGTGCTGTTTTTAGTATTGTTGTTGTTTTTCACAGTACTGTTGTGCTGCACACCTGATATCTAGCTCTTCTGTTAAATCATCTGGTTTTTATGTTTTTCATTCTTCACAGCCAACTGCACCTGTGATTCTGTTACATCCCCAGACACAATAACAAATTGCACATCTTTCTCTAGCTTCCCACTTCCAGTATTTCTAACTTTTTTTTATATATATAGTGGCTGTAGTCAGTGTAACCTGCTAATAAGAAGAATGTTTATATAGTGTATCTGACAACACATTTGACTGAGCACTCCTGATGGTTCCTAGTTTTCAGATGCAGTAGACTGGGACCTCCCAGGCTCATTATCTGTTTAACCCATGCCACAGAAACGTATTAAGAATCAGCAAACTGAGTTCAGTGAAGCATTACGTTCCTACCATGGAAATAGACCTTTAGACGGAACCAGAACTGCTGTTCACATTCCTGGATTCAGTGACATGTTTACACTCATTAACCTGCTCCAGAATCTTACTTTAAACAATCTATTGGTCATATAGTCAAATTAATTGGAAATAACCTCTGTTGTTATTTTGTTTTTGTGCTTACATTTTCAAACCCAACATTTGTTCACTCCCTTTGTTTGCTTAATAACACTTAGGGCCATAAAAATGAAAAATTACTGGTAATAAATATCATTACTTGTGGCTGTTGAAAATGCACTTTATAAATATTTTGACCACAATGTAACCTAGTTGTGTGTCATGAAAATGGGGTAGAATATTAAATTATTGATTGCTACCACTCAGTCATGGTTGTTTTCCCAACAATCCTAATATTTGGCATAAAAACATACATGTAAACATTGGAATAATTGTCTGGCAATGATTAATAAGAACAATTTCAGACCAGCTATAGCAAACTGAGCATTTTCTTCTGTTAGGTTACAAAGCCCTCCTCAAGTGTCTCTCGGGAAGATTCAACAGCAGAGAGCTGATTGGCATCATGGGGCCATCTGGAGCTGGGAAATCCACTCTAATGAATATTCTGGCAGGGTACAGGTGAGATTATATGGTTTGTTATTGTTATGGGAGTGTGTAGAGATCCCTGAACAGCTCTTGCAGTTATATAATATTATACCTTTGAGTTAATTTAGTGCTTCGGAAATTGTTGCACTATTAGTTGGTTTTCTGTTTGGAAACAGGGAGACAGGCATGAAGGGCCAGATCCTGGTGAACGGCAGACCGAGGGACCTGAGGACCTTCAGGAAGATGTCCTGCTACATCATGCAGGATGACATGCTGCTGCCACACCTCACCGCGAGAGAGGCCATGATGGTGAGCTCATTAAAACAATATACAGTATTCCCATCGCTTAATTCAATTATACTGTTCAGTAATAATGTTCTGATTGTCTTTCAGGTTTCTGCCAATCTAAAACTGAATGAGAGCATGCAGGTCAAAAAAGAACTTGTAAGTCTGGATATATTGGCTTCATTAGAATTAAATGTACAGCATTACTTGGCAACATAGAAATGTGTCTATGCCTACATTTTTTTCACACACATTTGCAAAATAACCACAACTTCCCCTGTAAGAGAAACTGGTTGCAACCACAATAATCATTCGAATACAGGAAGTCACATGACATCTACAGCCAGAAGAATTCCCAATAAACAAAGCCACATTTTCACATGGGAGCATATAATAAACCAAACAAGAAATAATGGCATTTTCAACTGTTCCATATAAAATATATTGCTCCAATCACAGCTATAAAGAAAACAGGCACTGCAGCAACAAAAAGAAAAAAGCAGCACATTTTTATACAGATGACCTGGCAGCCAGGACCTTCTACCTCACATCATCACAGATATTAATATTGTGAATTTTATCTATACCCCCCTCCAACTATTGTCACATATGTGGGTCATCATGTACCCACGTCCATCTTTGTTTGTGTCTAAGGTGGATGAGATCCTCACGGCTCTGGGTCTTCAGGAGTGTGCTCAGACACGAACCAACAATCTTTCCGGGGGTCAGTGTAAAAGACTCGCCATCGCTCTCGAATTGGTCAACAATCCTCCAGTCATGTTCTTTGATGAGCCCACCAGGTACAATATCACTCACCTAGTTTGAATCTGTATAATTTTGACCTAAATCCAAACTAAATGTTCTATCTATCTTACTGATATTCTGTCTCATCTCCTTTCCCCTCTCAGTGGTCTGGACAGCGCATCCTGCTTCCAGGTTGTTTCCCTCATGAAGTCACTGGCTCAGGGAGGAAGGACAATCATCTGCACCATTCATCAGCCCAGTGCCAAGCTCTTTGAGATGTTTGATAAGGTAACTTGAGTGCTTATAGTGCTGGACCCATCTCGCTTTCCATTAGCTGCTGCTTAGATCAGAACACCACAGGTTAGCCTGATTCCTTTTATCCAGCTGACAAGCAGCGTAGCAGTCGATACCCAGGCTCGCTGTTTTGTCAGTTGTTCCTATGATATTCAGGAAGTCATGGTGATGGATTGATTACTCTGGATATGTGTTTCTACTTTATCAGCTGTACATCCTCAGTCAGGGTCAGTGCATATACAAGGGCACAGTCCCTTACCTCATCCCTTATCTGAAGAACCTGGGGCTCCACTGCCCGACGTATCACAATCCTGCTGATTACAGTAAGTCTAGCATCTCCTTGTGTGCAGGCAAATGTATTTGTGTCTTTGTGTTTGTTAGTGTATTAGTAGCGTGTCCTTTCTGTTCCTAGTCATTGAGGTGGCATCAGGGGAGTATGGGGACCTGAATCCAGTGCTCTTTGAGGCTGTTCAGGGTGGTCTGTGCTCTGAGGAAAGCAAGAAGAACTCCAGAGACAAGAGTGACTCTTCCTGTCCCTCTCAATGTTATAGTGTAAGTGTTACAATGCCTTTTCCCCAGCAACACAACCTTATGTCTAACAGTGTATTTACAATGTTCAAGCCAAGGACACAGGTTTGGTCTCAGTATTGATAAAGACAACACCATCCCCCCCATACCTACCCTGGAAACTGTTCAAAGGTCTGTGCAGGAACTGTTTCCTTCTAAAGGATTGACTGCATTCATTAAGCAATAAGTAATTTACTCATTTATATGAAAGATTCCTCACAAATGAAGATATCACAGCCAATAAAAATGGCCCGTTAAATGATGTTACATTGAATCAAAACACCCTGTTATCCTTTTCTGTCCACACTGTTTTCTCCACTCCATCAGTCTGTCTCCTCAGCCTCTCTTAGCTACTTCTCACTCTTTCTTTCTCAGCTTCTTAAATTACTTTTAATGTAAACCACCAAAAGCTTTCTGTATTGTGCATGGTGCAGTTTTGCCCTTCTACTCCTTTAAATATTTTATCAGTTTATTGATCATTTTTTGTTGCCCTTCCTAACTTCAGCCAGTAACCTTTCCCACAGACAAAGATGTTTTTATTCTTATATTCTGCGTGTATATATTGTCATTTTCTGGCTATTCCTGCCTCATGTTCATCCTCTTCCACCAGGCTACATAATACAGAACAGTAGTGAAGCATAGTAACATTTTCCATTAGTATCTGTGATCACACATCACCAAGAGTGTGGTGCAGACAAAGTGTGCTTTCTGTGTTTAGAAGTTTTAAATTAGTTTAGGGACAAATGGACGTCTATGCTGACATCTCAGCACTGTTCAAAGAATAGCCTTGGAAAACACATTTGCTTTTAGGCTGAAGGTTTGATGAGAATATTGTTATAAAATCCATTCTTTAAATATTAGGCTAGATAAAGATAGTGGTTAGCTTTGCATAGCACAAAAACTGGAAGCAGAGGGATACATATAATTGCATAAATGTTCCATTCATTCATCTTCTACCACTTAATCCCATCCCTGAATGGGGTCACGGGGCGGAGCCAATCGGGCAAAGGCAGGGGACACCCTGGACAGGTCGCCAATCCATCGCAGGGCTAACACATAGACGAACAACCACACACACACAATTTAGAGACACCAATCAACCTAAGCTGCATGTCTTTGGACTGTGGGAGGAAGCCGGAGTACCCGGAGAGAACCCACGCAAGCACGGGGAGAACATGCAAACTCCACACAGAAAGGTCCCAGGCGGGGCCCGAACCCGGAGCCTTCTTGCTGTGAGGCAACAGCGCTAACCACTGCGCCACCGTGCTGCCTAAATGTTCCATCACATAGTTAATCATAAAACCCCTATTTGTTATTATTGCACTTCAGTTTTTTCATGTATCAAACAAATGAGATATAACATGTTAGTGAGCTGTTTAGTTTGCAGGATCTGGCAGCTGTTTCCTGCTGTTTATTCCTCTGTGCTAAGCTACAGTAACAGTTAGCTGTAGCTCCATGGTTAACAGAATTTTCTCACTGAACAATGTAACTCTGCCATCATATGGAAGTGATACTTTACCTGATAAACAAACTCAAATCACAAATTTCTTGTCAGAAAAATGAATTTGAAAAAAAGGTTCTGATCAAATAATCAGACTATTCAAGTTCCTCTACTGTTTAGCTTGGCGCATGTATTTATGAATCATACATAACTAATTCTTCATTCACAATGTGTTTTTCCACAGGACACGGGTACACTTGAGAAACATAGCTTTGCCACCAGTTCGTTCACACAGTTCTGCATCCTCTTCAAACGAACTTTCGTTACAATATGCAGGGACACGGTAAAATAATTATTTTATATTATTACTGCTCAAATTGTGTGACTGTGACTGGAAGGCTTTAGAGATTCCTTAACAATGTATGTTTCTGTTTTGTTTTGTTTTGTTTTCAAGGTGCTGACCCACCTCAGGGTGATGTCCCATTTGTCTGTTGGAGTGCTGATTGGCCTGCTTTATCTCAAAATTGGAAATGATGCCAGCAAGGTCTTCAACAACACTGGCTTCCTCTTTTTCTCCATGCTGTTCCTCATGTTTGCTGCTTTGATGCCTACTGTCCTAACCTGTAAGCTGCTAAGTTTATAGCAAGATATTAGAAACATTGATTCAGTGTGTTGTTTTGCTGGTTGAAGTGGAAAATGTTTTAACGCTGTTGTTCCACAGTTCCTCTGGAAATGTCCGTGTTTGTAAGAGAACATCTCAACTACTGGTACAGCCTGAAGGCCTATTACTTGGCCAAAACCATGGCTGATGTACCGTTCCAGGTAATATTTTAGTGATTTAACACACAACGCTTTGGACATGTGTAGTGTGTGACGTGTAATTTAAATTATGATACTAAAAATCTTCTTCTTAGGTGATTTGTCCAATCATGTACTGTAGTATAGTGTACTGGATGACTGAACAGCCTCCAGAGGCAGGTCGTTACCTGCTTTTTGTGGCCTTGTCCACATCCACGGCCTTGGTGGCCCAGTCTCTTGGTCTGCTTATAGGAGCTGCATCAACGTCTCTGCAGGTAGGTGCATCTTAAGTATCTGTTGACAGGATGTTTCACTGAGCCAGTCTTTTCAGTGTATACTGCTTTTTTGTTGCACAGGTGGCAACCTTTGTGGGTCCAGTCACAGCCATACCGGTGCTCCTCTTCTCTGGCTTCTTTGTCAATTTTGACACCATTCCCAAATACTTACAGTGGAGTTCTTATGTCTCCTATGTCAGGTACAGTCAGCTACTTTATGGAATTTAAATTTCTTTCACCACTCCTATTAGATTTTTTTCCCCCCTTGGTTTTTATGTCCAGACTTTCTTTATTCTGAAGTAATTCTCTTTAAATGAGCCTGGGTTTGGTCCACTTTCAGGTATGGCTTTGAGGGTGTGATACTGTCTATCTATGGAATGAACCGGTCGGAACTGGAGTGTCCGGGCCTCGTGTGTAAGTTTCAAAAACCAGAGGAGGTCCTGCAGCTGCTGGATGTGGAGGACGCAAAGCTCTATGTGGATTTCATGGTGCTGGGGGTTTTCTTCCTGGTCTTCAGACTGGCTACCTACCTGGTCCTGCGCTACAAAGTCAAGTCAGAGCGTTAAGATGTTAGGGCGACGAAATCACTAATGGATTCAGATGCTTGTACATATCCCAGTGAGATAGTAAGCAAGCATAGTCTCTACATACATGGACAAATTCAGCATCAGAAAGCTGTGCTGCACCATTACCCATTGTGTACAAAATAATATTATGTTTGTTATTCAAGAAAAAGGGAAGTTCAGACTAAAGTGTTCCACCCTCTGCTCACCATTAATTGTCCTACAGGTGATACTGTAATATTTCTGAGATGACCTTCCAAATCATTGTGTATCTGAACCATATATAAAAAGAATACTCAAAAGGTAGCACAAAGCATGTTTCTTTGAACTGAAAAAATTTGGTTAATAATTCTTTGGCCACACCAGGAAAGTGCCACATGAATAATGAGCTACGGGGAGCCATAGTCACCAGGAGAGTTCAGTGACTCACGGTGTCTCAATCTAATGCCTATGGAGGTGATCCAAGGTCTACATCAGGATGCAGTTCGGCAATACTTGGCTGGAAAGCAGCTATCAAGATGACCTAGAAACAAGATTTCAAGATGGATACCTTCTTCTTGCCATGAGGACAAGTGGCAAATTTCCATGCCAGAAAACATTTGAGCAGCTTCTCTCTCACCTGTAGGATCATCTTATCGGGTATCCTCACCAAGACGCTGAACACAGTGGCTTTTCTTTATTAAGTACAACCGTAAAACAAAAAAAAAAACAAACAAACATAAACTGCCAGTGGATGACTGGCCTTGCTTTCCATCTCCAGTGTGGCTCATTTTCACAGGCACTCTTCCCAACCACTGATGATTGTGGGATGTTTAGGCAAAAATTTAATATTTGTGAAATCTTCAGCAGTGTGTTTAATAGTCACCCTGCAACCAGGTTTATGATTCCTTATGTTCCCCTTTTATTATGATCCATTTGTTTCTGCCATAACCGTGGAAGCGTTCAGTGAACTGGGAGCACATTGTGTAAACAAGTGAGACTGCTGTTTCCCAATGAGAGAATGATGTTATAAGTGAAGTGCAATAGCCTATTCCATGGTTAAAAAAGTGATTTGTGTAATCAGTGTCGCTCTTCTGACACAATCTTTGAACTGCTTGTTTCCACTTGTTGTATGACTCTTTAGCTGCCTCCTCCCTGAGCTATGAAAGGAAATCTCTTTTTTCTCTCCTTCTCTTTCTCTCTGCTTTGCTGATGTCTGACAGATATGTGTTGTCCTAAACAATGCTAGATACTTGAAATGCCGGCTGGACAGTTTTTGTGCCTCTGAACTAGAATAATTTGAGTTTCCTCTGCTTCATTGCTGCTTGACACACACACACACACACACACAGTTACATTTGCACACAGACATACACAAGCAGACACATACATTCACCCTGGACTATGTTTAGAAGAGCCTCTCTTTGTCACACAGCAATGCAAATATTTTCCAATAGATTGCTATGAAATATTTCTTACTTAAACTATGCTTCTTAGTAATCCTTATTATAATGCATAAAATAATGTGAGTATATAATCAATGATTGTACAGTGAATATGTCATGCTGTAAAAAATGTACATTTGCACTTTTCAGTGTATGTTTATTCTTTTTTATTTATTTGTATTTAATTTTATTTTTCTATACCTATGTGACGAGTGCTGCTTGAAAGTATAACAGGAAAACAGCAACTGAATGTTGCATGTTCATTTTAGGAATGACATTTATGAAATGTTAAATTTCAGACTACAGCATAACAATTTTATTTCCTCAGTCAGATATAGGTACCCTGCCATGTCTGGGGAGATGAAAATCCTCAGCTTCTGTTGGACATTGTTAGAATGTCTGGGATCAAATGTGCATCACTGGTGTGCATTAAAAAAGGAAGAATCAGGGGTGTAAAGTAAAGGTTAGGACCGAAATGTGCCAGATGGAAGAAGGAAAGAATAAGCAACAGCCAACCAAATGTATCATTATGTAGCTACAGAGACTGGAGGTCACTTTAGGAAGCAGCTGGTTCACTGTTCTGTGGGTGGAGTCCTGCACAGAGACACCCGCAGCGGCTGAGGTTTGGGTTCTGTCATTAAAATCAATAGGCAACATTGTGATGTTACCTGTTATACCTCCCACTGCTGTGGCTTCAGTCCTTTTAAATATTTTATGTTAAGAACTTAATTTGAGTGTTTTTGTTTTGTTTTATTATCTGCAATAATCACTCAAAAAGTATTTTGACTCTATGAGACTAATTTTATGAAGGCAAAATGTGACATTACAATGTGAATTTTTTTTTTTTCATTTTAATTGTCTTTGTTGCTTGTGTTCAGTAAAAGAGATTAATTTGATGGGCATGATTGATGAATGATCCTCCTAATGATTTCATTCGAGGGACTAAAACAGAATAATAATGGTCAAATGTGCTGTGTGCTGGTTAAGTTAATGCCACTGAGCAGATGTTGCCATTTCAATGTCAGAAGCTGTGAAGATAACGCAGCACTGCAGGACAATTTGTAGCTTGGGAAACATATTGGATGAAGTCAGCCAACGCAGCAGATATGTGTTTTAAACTTCCTGAAACTGTATCAGAAGCCGTGAGCTGGTTGCAGAACTGTGGGTATGACTTTGTATGGTAAGAAAGAAACCCAGAAAGGAGAAGGAAAAGATGAAAAGAAAAAGGCCCAACCCAGGAACAAAAAAGGGATAATTAGTGTTGAAGCATTAACAACCTAACACTAACAGCCTGTGGTACCAAAGAAGAAAACAAACCACCCTTCCTCTGCTTGCAGAATTGTGCCCTTCTCATTGAGATTATGATGTGCAACCTTCTCATTAATTTTCTGACCAAAGAGGGTCATCTGAAAAGACATTTAAATCCCACAGATTTTACTAATTTACTGTATTTTCAATCATCATAAAACTGACATGTTTTTTTTCCTAGTGTCCCCAGGTCACAAAAGTAATCATTACTGAAAGATATGATTTGGCTGCAGATGCTAAGTAATTTAATCTTTATCAAATGTAACCATGTGTAAGCAGTATTAAGAGGCTCAGGGGAAGTGATTGTACAGGGTGCAGCTGATGTGCAAATGTTCAAATCACTGTCTTTGACACTTTTACTTATCATGTTGTTATTTCACTGGTCTGTCATAATAAACCACCTGATTTTAGTGCACTTAGTCATGCATGGTAAATACTGTATTAATATACAAGCCATCCGTAAAGAAAGCTTGTCTGATCAATAATGAAATGGAAAGTTGTTTAACACAGAGCATTTCTGTTTTTGTATGATATAATTTGTTTATCAATTACAGTTTAATTTATGGTTTCTCAACAAAAAAAATGCAAGTTCTGTATAACACTGTTCCAAGGATTATAATAAAGATAATTTATACCCTTTGTCCTCCCTCAGTGAGATGCTTTGCTTAAACACTGACTGTTGTGAGTTCATGTTTTACTTCTGAGGTTTATATATAGGCACAAATCCCATATGAAATTTGTTATGTTCATATACTGCAGATATGAACATTTGTTGTTTGCTCAGTCAGATATCCCACACTTAAAGAAAACCTTGA